AGGAATTTCAGGGTATAAGTTTAAGAGTCAGAGCTTCCTTTCCATTTGATAGACAGTTTACTGTTCAAGTAAACTAAAATTTCAGGTTCTTTGTAAGATCTAATCACAGATGAGCAGTTTAGGTAACTTGCAGTGCAATCTTAAGCAATGTTACTCCAGTCTAAGCCCATTGAAATCAATGGGCTTAGACTGGAGTAACTTTTCTTAAGATTGCACTGTTAATACTGTATTGCAGGAAGGGACCAAAGGGCCATCAATAATTCCTGCACTGATGCTTAGTGTGTGTTCACTTTGTTAGCACATCATGTAGTTTGGATGTTTGTAGTTTATTTTGAAAAATAATAAAAAATATTTTTTAAAAATCCTGCATCATCACCCCCAATTCTATAGCTTTTCTAATTCTTCAAAATTTCTACTTTACATACACACGACTGCCATAGAAACCCTGAATGTTATATATAATGCATTTGAGTGCTTGTAACAGGTTTGGGACTGTTGAGCTTTGCCTTCACCCCTTGTAAATTCAGTGTGTGCCCTATAATGCAACCAAATCTCCTGTATGTTGCATATCGCAAGAAAGCTTGTCAGCCAGTACAAAAACCACTGGTCTATAGGAAGCTGTAAATGTAGTACCACAACCTGGAGCACATGGTCCTGGCCAAGCAATTTGGTGAAGCTCTTTGGCTTATGGGAAGATGAAAAAATACTCATTACTGTCTAATCTGGGTACCCCAAATATAGCAGTTGGGCTCCAAACATTAGTTTAAATATGTACATTTCCCTTGAAAATGCTACTGGGATTGGATACCCCAAATACAGCAATTGGGCTCAAAGCATGAGTTTAAATATGTACAGAGAGCATTTCCAAGGGAAATGCTACTGGGATTCATGAAGGTGCCACCCAGAACCAGTTCTGTTGAAAAGGTTAGTTTTATACTGAGAATTCTAGAAGCGATTACATTTGTTCTTGCTTTTATGTTAGCGAATGTCTCTTATCAAAAATTAAAAAGCAATAGAAAAATTTGACCAATAAAATCTGAAGAGAACTAATCCCATATCTCCTGTCTGTGGCTGCTGTAGCTGGCTGTTTAGCTGACCTGCGTTTCATTCTCTGCTCCAAGCTTCCAGATTTGTGTGGAATTTTCCATGACTGCCTAAGCACTCTGCATTTGTAGCAGCTCCCATTACAAAGCTGCTTTGCTCTTTCTCCTTCCAAAGCATTCTAGAAATAGCAGTTAGATATGCCTGTGTGTTTACAAAATGTTTTGTATAGTGAGTCTTTAGCTCAGCTTTAAAAAATTTAAAGGGATCCTTAAGATTTTTCTTGTATTTACAGTTGTTAACAAACGAAATGCATTATACAAATGTGTTTCATTTATCTGTTCCCTCCACGCACATACATACTGCACAGTGACTTGTTCTAGCCATAAGCTTCTGCTCAGTTAGTGTATACTGCATTGAGAGGCACGTAGGTGTGGTTTGTAAGATGGATAGTGTTAGTAGCTTTACACTTTGGTGAAGCTGCGTCTCAGTGGGAGAACTTCTGCTTTGCATGTGGAAGGTCCCAGGTCTGCTGCCTGGTATCTCCAGTTAAAACGATCAGGTAACAGACCTCACCTGAGACTATAAAGAGACAGTATCAGACAGACTGACCTTGATAGATCAGAGGTCTGACTCAGTTTACTTTGTACACAGGCTGGCAGATTTTTTGTACTAGGGTCTCTCAAAGGTATGTAGTCAGGACATTTAAACTTTTTGTGTATGAACTGATAAATAATAATATAGATAAAGGTAAAGGTTCCCTTGCTCGAAAGCCAGTCGAATCTGACTCTAGGGTTGCGGACCGGTGCTCATCTCCGTTTCAAAGCCGAAGAGCCAGCGCTGTCCAAAGACATTTCCATGGTCATGTGGCTGGCATGACTAACCACCAAGGCGCACGGAACGCTGTTACCTTCCCACCAAAGTGGTACCTATTTATCTACTTGCAATTTCTTGCTTTCGAACTGCTAGGTTGGCAGGAGCTGGAACTAGAGATGGGAGATCACTCCGTCATGCGGCACACTCGGGTCTCGAACTGCTGAACTACCGACCTTCCACAGCCTGCAGTTCAGCGTCTTAACCACTTGAGCCACCGCAGCTCAATAATAATAATATATGATAAATAATAATATATGAGATTGATAAATGACAGGTTTTTTCCCTAGTGATTCTCTTTGGTACAAAGATATGAAACCACTAGCTGTGTCTAGATTAGAAAATTTAGATTCTAATATGCATACATTCATAAATACAAAAAACAAGACCTCATGAGCTAAGGACAGCAGAAGCTAAAACTAGAACAACGTGAGTTATGGTTGTAGTGAATAAGACTAAAAAGGTATGTGTTGGTGATTGTGTTGCTATGCAGCCTTTTTGAAGAGTTATGTTAGAAGAAATGTTGGTCTTGGACTTTCTGGTGATGGCATGTCCCAGAACATACGTTTAAAAAGCTAAATGGAAGATCCACTGTTAGACTGAAACAAGATAATCATCTGAAATGAAATGGGGCAGTTTCTAGATCCACTGTGCTTTGCACTTGGATAGATATCCAGAAAGGTCTAAATACCTTTGCTGGTTGTGGAAACTTAATTTTGAAAACAATAAGCTTAATTCAATTTTAATAATTCTGTCTCTCTTCCTGCAGTATATTGTAGCATCCTAGCTGTGAATCTATTCTCTGAACAATGTGTTTTTTTTCTTGTAGTTGGCTGATTGCAATCCTGGCTCAGCTCAACCCTCTATTTGGACCACAGCTAGACCATAACGTGATCTGGTATCTTAACCTTCACTGGCATTGACGATATCCACTTCTACAGTGGGTAAATATTCTTGACTTCTGAGAACTTTTTAATCACATACCATGTATTGGCATTTTGAGTTCAGGATGTCTGATTCACAAGAGGAAACCAAATCTTTTTTGTTGTTGTTGCAGAAGACTGCAGAAATAAAACCTGTGCTGACCTTTCTGTAAGCATCATTTGATAGGCTGCTTTGATGGGCTTGGTAATCCTCCCAGAGTTGATGACTGTAATTGTTCAGCACTTATATAAGTGATCAACTAATTTTAGGTGCGTTCAAAGAATTTGGAAAGTTGTGATCACTGGCTGAGAGACTATGAGAATAGGTCTGCAAGAGAAAGGAGATAAGGACCAATGGTCAGTGGTGGAATTACCACTAATTGCCAGCACACTTACATCCTTTCAGTTAGCATTTTTCAAAACTGAATACTTTCATCCCTAGGATGCTTCAGATACATTATTGTATCATATTCTGCATTCTGTACAGCCCCTATAATACAGATTTTCCAGGGCCTCTTAAGAGTTTGTGATCTTAATACTAACCTCTCCTTATAAATCATCTGTCCCTTTTTCAGTTGAGAACTGAAGCTCTACTTACAGGTTATACAAGCCTACTAATAACATGGTCCCTTTTTATGGGGCTGTTGAAGAGCTCTAAACTTCAAATTAGCATAGGAAAACTGTGATGTGTAGGCTGAGATAATTGAAGTATAGGGCTTACCACAAGTGCAAAAACTGCCAGCCTTTTGTTTAGAAAAATAGTTGTCTGCTTGCTTGAAGTGAGTTGCAATTATTCCTAAGCAAGAAGATGGCAGCATTGATTGTATCCATCTAGGTACTGTCATACTCTTTCCTGAAGTTAAAGCAAGCATGTCTCATAAATTAAGTCTATGGTTTATACTGTGTTTTTTAGTGGATAAGACAGGTGCAAATAAAGCATCTTCTGCAAGAAATGCATTGAATAAGTATACTATTTCAACTCCTGCACAGTCTCTGGACATTGCTGGGTGGGAAGCATGTTGCAAATAAGGCACATCAGGGAAATTTCAGTACATTGAGCTCAAAATTGAGACACATAAATACAAACAATTACAGGTGGCCAGGGTCATTAAATTGATTTCTGTGATGGCCAGTAATTCAAAAAGAAGAGGAAGAGGAGATTGGATTTATACCCCGCCCTTCACTACCCAAAGGTGTCTCAGAGCGGCTTACAAACTCCTTTCCCTCCCCACAACAGACACCCTGTGAGGTAGGTGGGGCTGAGAGAGCTCTGACAGAAACTGCTCTTTTTTCAAGAACAGCTCTTATCAGAACTACGGCTTGCCCAAGGTCATCTAGCCAGATGCAAGTGGAGGAGTTGGGAATCAAACCCAGTTTTCCCAGATTAGAGTCTGCGCACTTAACCACTATACCAAACTGGCTCTCCTCTGCCTGCCTCATGTTTTAAGTCTGATTTCCCCTTAACTATGACTTCCCTGTCTTTTTAAAAAGGTGAGTCACCTTTATACAATGACTTACATGGTTTAATTGCCTGCTGTTAAGGTCCCTTGTTTCTAAGATGTAGGTGCATTTTAAGAATGGAAGGCAGAAGTAGTTCTGCATTTGCTACAGAGTGAGGCTTCAAGGGCAACAAAGCAATGACCCTGGTTGAATTTCTTGCAGTGCCAAACAACAACCTTGACTTGGAAGTGGAAGGGCTGGCATGTCTTTGACAAACCAGGAGACTAGAACTTACTTCGGGAGAAAGTATCTTAGCACTCTTAGTTGAAAGTGATACTCTGGTAATAGGTGTTCCATTTCCACTTTCCATTCTATTCTAATGTTGCTGTAAAAATGCCCATGGACTCTGGTTGACTGTTTTGTATTGATTTATAACAGCATAATCACCATCTGACCAGAGTTTAGGGAGGAGTGTTGAAAGCAAGCATCCTGTCTAAATCAATTGGATCTACTGGGCTTGTTAATATAAAGCTTTATCTAGAACAGCTGTGATGCCCTGCATGTACTCCCCCCACCATCCATCTGTAACCATCCATCTAACTAGAATGATAGCTAAATAGTTGAATTTCCTGTGACAAAGACTAAACTACGTTTTGCTTTGCAGGCTATGAGTTTGTAATGCTCCAGTGATCCAATGGTGCCTTTAACGTACACAGAATCATCCAAGACGACTTTAATGCCTTATTCCTCGATTTGTTACCAAAAAAAGAAATGCTTAAAACATTTCATGTTTTTTACAGTACTGAAAGTGCCTGTCAAATACCATGTACCTCTTCAGTATACTTTTGTACATCGTTATGAAATGCCCCAGCTCTTTCCCTGCCTGCACGAGGGCAGCTGGAATGGAGCACTGTCTCACTCCAGATGTTGTTTGCCTTCCAATCTTGAGACTTTCTGTTGTATCCTAAATATATATATATATATATATATATGGTTGCTTATGGGAGATTGTATCTCAAATCTGAAATAAATATTTTCCCATTCTTAATGTCCTCTGGCTTTATTTAATCTTTTAAAATAGTCTGTAAACTTAAATAGGTATTGTTTGGAGAGGATAGGTGTCCTTGTAGAATAACACAGGTTTATCCACTGGAATGGTGCAATAAAATTCTGAAGTTACATTCCAAGTAGGGAGGAACAGGTATATGATGATCAGTTGAGCTGAGAAAAGATCCTGAGTCCAGAGCTCAATTTTTACAATTTGGCTAAGCTGTCAAGAAAGAAAACCCTTACAGGTTTTCCTTTAGGCGGGCTAAGCTCCTTTAATCATTACTTTTGCAGTGATGGGTCAAGAGTTGGCTTGGAGGGAAACTTTGAACCTGCACCCAAACTTCTCACTGGCTCAGGGAATCATACAAGTGCCTTCCTATGAAGAACACATGCACACACCCATTTGTGGCTTGCAAAGAATTCATTTTGCTGGTGGCAGCTTGTACTGTTGAAGTTCCAAACCATGAGGGGAAGGTTGCAGGAAAATCCATAAATATGTTAGCCTGGGCTATAGTTCTGTATCAAGAGGCTGGTACAAAAGATAGGCCCTGTCATGCAGTGCCACAATGTTCTGACTTCGACCCATTCCCAGGAAGGGGAATGTAGAGGTTGTAAGTAAAGATTAAGTAGCAATTTACCTTTTGTTTTTTCCTAAGCATTCTGCCTTATTTCTACTTGTCTACAGATTGTTCCCAAGTATCTGTGCTTTCTAGGATGTATCTTTAGTAATGAGGTTCTCTCACATCCAGGGGTATGGGTTTCTAGCGACTGCTTAGCCATGTTTTGCCTAATTCTGCTGATCTTCATTAACTAGACAACTGGTGTTGAAGGATACCGCTAGCAAGGGGACACAAATACTAAGGGAAGGAAAAAGCCCACACATCTTTTTCATGTGAAGAGCACATGCACATACCAATTTATGGTTTGCAAATGGATCTCTTGGGTTCTCAGCCAACTTGCAAGGTTGACCTGAGAGGCAGGGTAGGATGGGGGCAGCTGGGGGGTGCTGACTGTCAAATGCGTTTATAAGAGATATAACTCATTTATTATTGTAATTCTGCACAGAGTAGTTCAGTGACCTCTTAGCTGGGTGCTGTCCCATTGAAGTTCTGCCCCAACCAGCATAATGCCTGTACTGTAAGAGGTGCCTACTGTTACAATGTCCAGCATCTCTTCAGTTAGTTGTACTTTACTGAGAGCTGCTGGCTAGCAACTTTTAAAACTAATATAGAAAACTGCACTTTCAAAAATGTGTATAGAGCTGTACTATCACTTGTAAGTAATGATCATGAAATAATGTATGTGACTAAGTACAACACTGTGCTAGTCAACTGTTCCTAAGTTATAAGCAATGAAAAAAATAAGGTTACAAAAGGCCATTCCTGC